AAGTAAGAGATTTAATAAAACTAGAAGCTGACCCTTGGGAAGATTAATTAATATAAGCATAACTCTGGCAAGACTGACCATAAGAAAAATAAAAAGAATGGGAGAAATACAAAATTTAACCAAGAAGATGCCACTTCATGACAATCAGAATGGCAAAAATTAGCAAGGGGAATGTGGTATTGGAAAGGATGTGGAGAAACAGGCCCTCAGCACCGCTGGAGGGATGTGAACTCATGCAGCCATTTAGTGAAACTATACTGGGAGAAATTTTTGCACAGAACTGTAAGGGAACAAGTAAAATGTTGTGGATAAATATAAAACTAAATGTATGGACAGCAATGCAGACAGATCTTTAAGAGAGAGCAGTGAGTTGAGTGAACCGCAGTGGAATGCGACAGAGGCAGCACACCCTGCACACCAGTGGTCTTCAAACACTTTTACATTCTTAAAAATTACTGAGGACCCCAAAGAACTTTTGCTCGAGGGTCATACTTATCAGCATTACCATATTAGACATGAATGCTGACAGCTTTTAAAAGAATACACAAGCACACATTCCATAGCCATCTGAGCAGCGATGTCATCATCATAGATTATATAGCCTCTGGAAATCTCCACTGTACACTTGTGAGAACAGGAGAAAAAGGCAAATAATGTCCTGGAAGCAGTTTCGAGCTCCATTCTCCTTGGAAGGATCTTGTGCCCTCCACACTGCAATTTGAGATGTGCCCTCTGCTGATCCAGAGATATATTAACTTCCTTTTTCTTCCTGCCTCCGTGATATTTGGTTAGAGCAAATTTCAGATCTATTGTAACTTATTTTGTAGCAATATTTGAGGTTCTTATGTGATAGGAACTACACAAAGCACATATCATTAATCCTCACAGCAATCTGAGGATTACTAGTTTCCCCATTTTACAGATAAGGAAACAGGCTCCAAGAGGTTAAGTGATTTCCCAATGGTTACATAGCCAACTTGGAACAGAACAAAGATTTGATTCAAATCTGATCTTGTAATTCATACTCTTAATAACTAAACTACCAACCCAAGAAAAGAACAGAGACACTAATACATGAGATCTAGGGAGAGCTTTAATTTGGGCTTTAGTCTGAAACGAAAACTTCATTTTTCCATTATAAATATGCCCCCAAACACAGGGTATACACGAATGGCCTCTTTCAATTGGACTCTTACTATAATGAATGATCTGCTCATCCCCTGAAGCTACCTGTGTGCTAGATAATTTGGAAGGCTTTCTCACATACTGTAACCTATTTGGTCTGCAAAAGAAACCTGCAAACTAGGCTGGGCAGGGAATATCAGCCCCATCGGGATGAGGAAATAGATTTACATAGGTTGTCTTTCCCAAGTTGGTACATTGGACAGAAGTAACTTAAGTCCAGGTCTTCTCATTTCAAATCTGATTATTTCCTTATATGCTAAAACCAAAAGGTTATTTTTTCTCCACCCCACTCCCCCAACATTTTCCAGATCATTGTCAAAAGACTTTAGAAAGGTCTATTCACTCTGGATTAAGAGAACAGCTCTTCTCACTTATGTGCTCCAGTCAAACTTTTTTGGGTTTTGCAAGTCAGGAAAATGCCTCAGAATTGCAGCTACATGTTCAGTAGAAATGAAGGAACTCGGGCAACAGATCTTTTTCCTCTTCAGAGAAATAACCAGGTGCCTTTTTCCAAGAAATTATTTCTATTTGTTATTTTGCAAGGTATAATAGCACAACAGAAAGATTCTGACTATGAGTTTGGATTTTAGCTCCTCCACATAAGCACCATTTTTTTTGGTAGTTTACGAATTATCATTATTGAAATTCCTACTAATATGTAGTAGTGGTGATAATGGTATCTGTCACTTATTAAACATTAACTGGCAGACATTGCATTAAGTATTTTACACTGTATCATTTACACATACTTTTGAGATTCAAGTTATGTCCTATTGTGCAAGATCCTATTGAAACACTACCACATCCTTGAGGTAGAGTTACTATTATTTCCCTGATTTTATAGTTTATAATTATTAGAGCCAGCTATAATAGTGTACTACAGAACTAAACTTACAAAACCAGAAGGAAATCACGAAAGTACTTTTCTCTCACAGTCAGGAAAGCATTCACTTCCACTTCACAGAAATACATATATTAAATCTAAAGTGACAATATGCTCATCTAAGGTAAGTGGTTTAAAAGCTGCACTCAGATCTGGATCACAGCAGACCAAATTCTGAAAGTGAAGGCTGCCTGTTCAGTGACATCAGCTGCTGGCTTGAAATACATCCACACCTCCGCCTGATTCGTAGCTATTACAACTCTACTTTGGTAACAGCACTGTTGCTTATTAAGAGTTGCCTATGGTTTGAAGTACTAATTGAATGTGATCCTTAGTGGGGTACTAAAGAGCCACGTTAGGACATATGGATTCCACATTAGGCTGTTATCTCTAACATACTTCACAGGGTTGGGTCAGTCACTTTACTTTCTTTAACACAACAAAATTTGTATGCCTGAAAATCTTTTCTGTTCCCTCATCTTTAAATACTATAGCTGGATAAAAAATTCTAGGTTAAAACTTGTTTTCCTTGAGCACATTGAAAATTTGCTTATTTCACTGTTAAAATAAGACACCTGCTATCTAACTTATCTTTGTTCCTTTGTAGGAAAACTAGTTTCAGGTTCTTTGCCTTTGATGTTATCTATAATGCACCCAGATGGTTTCATCTTTTCTATATAGCACTTGATAAACTAATCCACTCGGAGGTCTTTCACTTTTCCTTAATTATAGGAAACTTGAGTGTTTACCCAGTGTGTTCACTTGGTTCTTTGTAACTTTATTCCTGTTTCATGTTCCCAACATGCTATCCTAGTGAACAACAGATTAAAAGACAATAGGTGCCCAATCTTGTGATTATGAAATGCTGCTGAAATACCAAGTAAAATGAGGTCATAGAGGCTACTGGAAACCTTATTAAGAACAGTTCCAATGGATCAACGAGGGATGAAAGCCCAATTAGAATGGGTT